CTGCATAAAAAGCAGTAGTAAGAGTCTGTTTGTATGTGAGTGTGTGGTTATACCTGATGCCAGTGAATAATGTTCCAGCAGGCAAAATGTGCATATGCATCCATTTGACTTGAGAGAAAGCAGAAGTGTTATAAGGGCAGGGATCCACTGCTGTGCCAGAATAAAGCTGTGAAGGACCTGAGCAACATACTGCTGCTGTGTTAAAACCCCATTCTTCAAATTTCAGAATATTGAGGAGAGACTCATATATATGTGATTTTACAGTAGGAATGCATATGTAGAATTTTCTCCCTTTAGGAGAGTCTTCTCCACATTAGTGCTTAGTCATATGGAAAACATCATTTGGGGGGTGTGTATGGGCTTTTTTTTAATTCCAGTTTCTACAATTTGTACGATTCTTTTTAAATAGTGCTGTGCTTCATCAGTAGGAGAAGATTCTGAATAGGCTGTTGGCTCGAGCATAATGAGGCTACATGTGTGGGAGCTTTTTATGGGATTACTTGTTAAAATACCTCAGTATGAGTGGTCAAGGGCCACTGGAGAACAGACATGTGGAAGGTCTGCAAGAAAGAAAGGTAGCAGCCAGCGTAAAGGAATGAGATCTTACTGTTAAGAGAAACGTGAAGAAGCAGATTTGAGTTTTGGCTGGAAATGTTCTGATGCGTAGCGACCAAAAAGAAACATACTCTTATGTTCAGATGATCTGGATGTCTTCCTATTTAGGAAGGAAAATACGAATTGTGCAAAAGAAAAAAGATCTTTCTCTGTCCGTTTGTCCATTTTAAAAAACCTTTGTTATTTGTCCAACTTTTCTTTGTCTTAACCCCAGAAGAGGGGACACTGAGAGACATCACAAGATGAGACCATTCTGAATTCAGCCTTTCCTCCTTGTGTGATTTGAATGTGCCAGGTGGCACATCTCATCATTAGCTTAGGTCCTATTTGGCATTACTTGAAAACCCCAACACATTTCTCTATGTCTGTGGAACTGTATGTGGACATAAATCAGAAAAATTGTTTTCCTTCAAAATTACTTGTATTACAAGCTTTATTTGTATCAGCGTCTTCTTGGACATGCTTACTCTGTTCAGATTTTGTGTTCTGTCCTCAGCTATGTAGCAGAAGATACTGCAACAAACTTTTCCCAGAAGAAAAAGCAGAACTGTACTGAGTGAATAAGAGTCTGGGAGAGAGTTTGTCATGCTGTGCAAGGCTGCTACAGATCATAAAATCATCGAATGCCTTGGATTGGAAGGGACCTTAAAGATCATCTAGACCCAACCCCCCTGCCATGGGCAGGGACTACAGACTAAACATGCAGCAGTATCTACCTAAGACTGTTCCAAAAGATGTGAGTTTTGGGCCATGATGAACCTTTTCTTGCCAAAGTGTGGTTTAGGCATGCCTGGTAGGGTCCCCTACTACAGACCCACTCACAGCACCACCTATTACACTCCTGGCACTATTGTAAGGAAATCTTTGGTGATTCAGAGCATGGGGTCTTGGATTACTTTGTGCTGTGAGAATCTGCTGTCTGTACTGAGCAAACAGGTTGTTACAGAAGGGGAGGACTTTGCTTCCCTTAACTAGAAACCTGCCTTTGCCTCCACCGCAAAGGAATTCTTCTCTCTGACAGCTGAAAATGAAACCATCAGTTACTGGTTTTCCCCATTTTCACATGTCAAAGACTTTTTCCTCTCCTCAACTTGAGCAAACATGCACTTGGATGCACAGCAACAACCTTGCGAATCAGAAAGGATGCGGGCTGTCTCATCTGACCAGCAACTGGACAAATGCAAGACTGCACACCTTTATGGAGAAGGGCAACAGAGAGAGAGACCGTGAATGCATATGTACAAGCAACTTACTTCTGCTTTGACTGCCTTGCTTGTGTCTTCTGCTGCAGTTCCTCATCTGTCTCCACCAGCAGACTGATTCACTGGCAGAGACTTTTGCCAAAAAAGGAAATAAAAATCCACTTACAAGAAGTAGTAGAGTGCTGTGTGATGTCTGCAGGTATAGGAGGGCATTTGGCTATTTGGCAGTGTTGAAGGAGTGGAGTTATTTTATTATAAACAGCACCATTGCATGACATTCTGAAAGACCAAATTTTGCACCATGGAGCGGGAGAGATAAAGAGGCATCTAACCTGTGGTTAGGATGTTTAGCAGGGGCCTGGAGGATTCTTGTGTCCTGAAGCTATGACAGATCTTGACCTGTACTGCTGCCTGTCTCAGGGAGTGCTGAGACCGTGTTATTTCGGAATGAAAAGGAGGAAGAGTCCAGCTTTTCTCAACACTTTTTACCTAAGAACACAGTCTCTCTGGTGTGGTTTGTACAGAAGCTGGTCACTGGTTCCACATCTGTCACTTGTTTGCTAAACTGCTGTTTGCAAATTGCTCAGGGACAACTCTTCTTTGTTAGAGAATCCCAGAATAAAAATACAAGTGATTTGAAAAATGTGTATTTAGAATCGTGCACACATTTCTAATTTACTGAACGCCACAACACACAGTGACCAGTTTGCTCTGAATTAGCCTGCTCCTGCAGGGATTCTCAGGTATTGAATTAAGTTTGAAAACATCGTGCTAACTTTGTCTCAGGAAGGATGCTAACAAGATTTCTTGCTTCTTCCAAGCAATTTCCGTGGACTCTATGAAATCATAGTATCCTTGGAGACCTTTGCCTATCTGCTGAATCAGTTGTAGTCAGTCCAGGGGTTCAGAAGCCACTGAAATTGGCCTGGTGCAGAAAATTCTCTGGAATGTGGGTGCTAATCATCTGCTGTCTTGTGTAGGCAGAGTGAAGTAAGTCTTTGTTAGTAAACAGAACCTGAGAGTAACTACAGAAACAGTTCTGCTTTATAAAGTAGCATGCTGTCTGTGGAAAGACCAAGAAAGTGATTTCTCAATGAAAAACTTTACAGCTTGGCAAGTCTGGTATATATCAGTGAGAGATACAGAAGACCTTTCTCTGCTCTATTGCCAGCTAACACCATTCTACAACTTTTTTGGTGAGAATTGTCAGCCTGGAATGATCTGCAAGATTTTACCCAGTTGCTGTGCTCCGTGGAGGAGTTTGGTTGAGGTATTTTTGACTTTTTTCTTGTCTTTTTTTAAATAAATACTTCCCCTTCTTAACATGCATTGGCATACTGGTGTTAGGAGAGGTAGTAGTAAACCACTATGTTGTTATCTGGAACAGCTGAGCAACTTAAGGTTTCTTTCAACAGGTTGTAGTTTATAAATTCTAACAACCTAGACAGTTGATGTAGGAGGGTGTCCATTCCTTGTGATCTGGATGGGAAGAAATATTAGCAAAGGAGTTTCTTTTTACCTTTGGAGTGTTAGTCACTCCTCTGTGTCTTTTGGCCTACAGAATATTCACCGCATGATGAAAGATCAAGCTATTGGGAGGATCCCAGTGAGGTTTGTTGCAAGTAGGTGTAGTGTACGTTTCTGTTACAAGGCAAACTAATATTCTTGTGGTAAACAGCTACTGAAAGGGTTAGAACTGGTGCCAGCAAACTAACGCTACAATCAATGGAACTATGCTACTTTAACCAGAGAAGGGTAGAGACAGTACGAGTAATTTTAAATGGCCTTCCACCTCACTGGAGAATGACGATGAAAATGGTATGGAAATATAAGTTCTCAAATGTACGATAGAGATCTTGGACTTGGACAGTTACATACATATGTTTTAAACTTGTTTAAAAATATGCTTGCAACATAGGAAACGCAGATTTAAACTGTAAAGGGCAAAGAGATTTTGAGGTCTTCAGAGCCATGAACACTCAAAGAGGATGGTGAAATCAACAGTAATTCTCTTCCCAAGGAAGCTCTACTGCAATTAACATATAACATTAGCAGGTTAGACATGAATCATAGTAATTGTTTGGGCTGGGCTGGGTTGAGAAGACTGAACAAAAGGTGATGAAAGCAGCTGGCCTACTTCATAAGAGACTGAAGAACTCTCATTAGACGTGGGGGGATCTGGTTGCTTCCCTTTTCTCAGTAGGATTTTGAGATATTCTTGTAGAGGGTTTGGGATGTGTTTTAGTCAGAAGTAGCTTAGGTGGCAAACTAGCTACCGTTCATATTTGTTTTAAGTTTTAGGTTTATGCTTTTTTTCCTTTCTTCCCCTCCCTTTCTTCACTTGTGAAATTTTCTTCCTCTCTCTCTCTCCCTCCTCCCCTCTTCAGCCTGTTTTACTACTTTCCTTTTTAGGCAACTGGAGGCTACTGTTGCAAAAATTACAAAGGAAAATGCTCCTCTGTTGCAACTTGTTCTGTCAGTCTCCCGTAAACTGCTGTGCTCATGTTTGCCTCCCTTGGTTGGGTTTCTGAAGAAAGTTGCTTCATGCTACGGAGTAGAAATCATTTAAAGGAAATGTAGCTTAAGAAGAAGTTATACTTTTGAGTTAAATATTAACCAGATTCAAACAAGCTGAAGAGCATTTCGGGTGAGGTTAACTTGTTGGGTTGGTGAACAGGAACGAGCTCAAGCAGTGAAGAATAGGCATGGGGATACTCTATTCAGAGGTACGTGACCATTTTCTGCGCAGTGACTGAAGCTATTGAAGATACAGGTATTCACTGGGTTTGGTTTGCTCCCTTACACAGACTTACACGGAGCTGGAAGTTCTTTTCCTCCTGTGCTTTGGCTATTATAAGTACTGTTTGTAGAAGTAAAGATAATGCAATAACCAGTGTAATTGTTGTGACTTCACAAGTACGTGTTCAGCATTTTTTGTTGTTCTGTGTTCAGTTCAGAATGATTCTGAGAACGACGCAAGCCGCAAACAAGTGCGCAAACTGCAGACAGCTCCTTGGCTTATGTTGAATACAGATTATAAAGCTAATGTCTAAGGAAATACTCCCCCACATCATTGTGTTAGGAATGTGGGGTTTTTTTATCTCTTATCTTTATGAGTTTGTCCCCAGACTGTGGTCCATTTAGCATACGCCTGGATTTTAGCATAAGTGCTACCTAAACATATTTGTTATTTTAAAAGACTTTCCATTTGTGCTCTTGGGAGCAGAGGAAGATGTTTGTCCTTTTGGACTGTGAATACAGAGGGTTGCACTGCTGTTTCTTTTACTGGGGATAGCATTACATAGCTCTTCCTATGAAAGGTTACATTTCTGTGCCGAAAGCCACCCTTTTATTTTTAAAAGGCTATTAAATGAAATCAAGTGTCTTCTCTTTACGTATTGTAGGGAGCTTGAATCTATGCATCTGTAAGGTGATCAGCTGGGTAATCTGCACCGTATTTTGAACGGATTTGTTGCCTCTCTCCAGATCTACTACTCTGAGATAGCACTGCACAAGAAACCAGTGTCATCTAGTTTAATTAAAATGATGTTTAGAGAAGGTTCAAATGCTGCCGTATCTCCCATGATTATTTATTAATACTTTCATATATATTAGTTCTCTTCCTTTAAAAATTTTGAGTGAGATGTAGTTTTCTGCATGAAGTAGGGTTCATTTATACAGTACAGAAATCTAGAGAAGCGCAAATAAGTGCAAGTTGTCTTTTCTGAGGAGTATAGATTGGATAGCAGTGCATTCCTCAGCATCACAAACACGATTTAGACTTTTCTGTTTAATTTGTAGCATGCCTCTAGGTGAACTTCAGTGCACAGGAAGAGGCTGTGGATTGGTTCAGAATATCTGGATGTTATGAAGTGACTCCTTTTTGTCTAAACAACTGCAAAGCATTTATGTAACTTAGGCAGTCCCCTGCAGTTCTCAGAGGAGGAAGCGATTACAATCTGAAATTGCTCTCCCAGTTTAAGGCTTTACCTTAGCTTCCTTGCTATTGGCTGAATGCTTTGTGCTTAGTGCCATGCCTTTAACCTTTATTTCATGTGTGGTAAAACTTGCTGAGTAGCTCATGGTTTACTTTAGTAAACCTGCGCAGAGGCAAATTCAAGAAGCTCTGAAAACAAACAGAAAAATTCAGGAGTGGCAGTTCATCTGGATCCAAGTAAACTACCAGGTCCTGATTTCAGTTAAGTGATGCACAATTGATTAGAAAAAAAAGAATTAAAAAAATAAAAAAATAATTTGTGTAGAGGTGGTGTCCTTCTTCCTGACAGCAATTATTTTTTTACTTTTCTTGGACCCCATATCTGCTGATCTTGTACTGAGTGATCTCAGCCATGAAAACCCTTGCTTTCCTACTTCTCCCCTTTCCTGAAGTGTACAGGAGTACTGTAGAAAGAGAAAGTCTAGTCTAACTATAGAGGTTTTGCTTTAAAATTGCTTATGCAGTTTTTGTTTGAACACCTGACTTGGGCAAGCACCTCTCAGTCATTGCTGTATCTCATCTGCAGCCTCTAATTTCCAGACTCCAGTGGCCTGCCCGTTGCTCTCTTCAGTCGTGTAGAGCTATGTGCTCTTGTTCATGTTAGCCTCGATGGTGTGGCAGGGAAAAGGCACCCTTCTGCCATATGTCTTGTGCAGTGTCACGCTGTCAGGTTCCAGCAGGTCCAGGGAGGTGATCATCCCCCTGTACTCGGCACTGGTGAGGCCGCACCTCCAGTACTGTTGAAATTCTGGAGCGTGTTCAGAGAAGAGCCACAAGGATGGGGAGGGCTCTGGAGAACAAGCCTGATGAGGAGCGGCTGAGGGAACTGGGCTTGTTTAGCCTGGAGAAGAGAAGGCTGAGGGGAGACCTCATCACCACCTCCAACTGCCTCAAGGGAGCTTGTAGAGAGGTGGGTGCTGGGCTCTTCTCCCAGGTGATGGGGGATAGAACAAGGGGAAACGGCACCAAGCTGTGCCAAGGGAGGTTCAGGTTAGAGATAAGGAGGAAGTTCTTTACTGAGAGGGTCGTCAGAAGCTGGAACAGGCTGCCCAGGGAGGTGGTGGAGTCACCATCCCTGGATGTGTTTAAAGAGCGGGTAGATGAGGTACTTAGGGATATGGTTTAGGGGGTAGACAGGAACGGTTGGACGTGATGATCTCAGAGGGCTTTTCCAACTGAGCCATTCTGTGATTCTGTGATCACGTGCCTCTTGTCTGAATGTTCGGTGGTGCTGCAAATGTGTGAGGCAGTTCAAAGAGGAGCTCGCTTCCTCTTTACCTAAGCTGGAATTGGTCCTGCTCACTCTTCTTTCAGACCTAGAGCTCTTGTCTGTGTTGAGTGTAATGTTTGATGTGCCAGGTCTTCCCTGCTGCATTGTGGAGGTAGGCTAGGTCTGTTCTGGGATCTCTGGGACAGTCAGGCCACTGGGGTTTATAAATAATGTGGTGTAGGTGAGACACCACATGGTTGCCAGCAACCCCAGAAGTTGAGCTTAGTTCCCACTGGTGCTGTCTTCAGGTTTTTTTGTTGTTGGAGCACTGGCCTTTGTTTCTCACAGGTGCCTAAAGGAGATGCCATAGACTTTACGTCTGTGTTCAGTTGCCAGTGCATCCCTAGTGAAGGAAGCTGCAGGGGTTCTCCTGGCTGTCCTCCACTGCCGTGAGATGTTTGCACTCATAGTCCTGCTCCTCTCCACAGCTGAGCCCAGCTCTGAGACGTGAACTTTGGATTCTTGTGATGCTGCTTCTGTCTTGCATTTGAAGCCCAGTTATTTTGAGTATGTACCTCATGGGTTTATTTCCCTCTTGTGTATGACAGGTGAATAACAATAATGTAAGAACCATAATGTGAATCAAAGGCTGGTTGTTAAGCTACATTATTGGCAGGGGCTTCATAACCACAGAAATCCCTGCACACTTCTCAAGCTCCAGCCTGGAGCCAGTCATGTTTTGTGCCCATTCTGCTGCTACTGGAAGCCTGTTTTGAAGCTTTATTCAGCATATGGCTAGAAATGTCTTTCTAATTTTCATGCTAAACTTGGCCAGATATATCACCTTTTTTACTTTGTTTCTTGAAATTAATTGGCTCTTCTTCTGTAATGTTTACTTTTAAATTTATTTATTTTGGATCACCTACAGCCCTGTCTTTTTTCTTCCTAGTCAAGCTAAGCAAATCAGTCTTTCTTCAGGTTCTTCATACTCCTCTGTTCTGTAGAGGTTTTATGCTCCTGCCACAGCTTGGTCTCATTTTTGGACCCAGATGACAAGAACTGTACCCACTATCCCAGTTAAATGCCTTCTGTAACAGCTCTCTCTCTTTTCTGTGAGAAAGACTGCCTAATGGAACGTTTGCCACGGCCTTTCTCACACAGGTGACTCATTGCCACCTATTTGTAATTTTTCTTATCTTTATTCTTTCCTAACACATTTTTTCTGAAGTCTTATTATTATTGATATAAAAATAATGAGTTTATAGTTGCTTGGATTGCTTTGTTCCCTTACTTAAATATTCCACTACTATGTTTCCTCCTCCAGTCATGAAGTAGCGTTTGTCTGTTTGGGAGGTATATGACAAGTCTGATATATGGGACTTTTCACCTTGCTTTGGCTAAAGGAGTCATTTTCTAGAATGCAAACCAGCAGAGCGGGCCTCAAGAGAATCCCGTAAAACCAGGAAAAAAGTTTGTTTGTTTGTTTGTTTTTAATATGAGTGGAACATACTAATGCAACAAGGAATCAGTTCTACAAAGAACACCCGCTGTAGTGCAATAATAATAATAATAATTCATCATAATTTAAAAAACACTTTAAGTACATCAATTACCAGTGTACCAATTAGCTGTTGGAATGGAGGAGAATTGCTTCCTCACGTTCTCTATGCCCTGGATGTTTTCTGAGACCAGATAGTTTCAGAATGTAGCAGAGCACGTGTGACTCTCGTGCGCGGTCTCTGTGCATGACTTCAGTGCCAGATAATGTAGTCTCTTAGGGAGCGGTAAGTGCTTCATCATTATTCATGGCCGTGGAACTGGATTTGACAGTAGTCAAAGATTTAGAGAAAGATCTTTTAGAAGAACGCAGGCAGGTGTGCAAACTTACACTATTACGTGTATTCTTTGTAGATTTTTGTCTGATATAATAAAAACAAAACAAGAAGTAGTACAAGGTCTGGTGAGCATGTAAATACTCTCCTTGAGAAAGAAAATAACTGCTCTTATGCAGCTGTCCAGAAGACCAAGCAGAAATTACGCTGGTAGTAAATTGGTGTTGTAGATCAAAGAAAAGAAAGTGTAAATAAGTTGAATCTTTTTAATGGGGAGTTTGGGGGAAAGTTAAGTGCAGGGGGAGTGAGGAAAGGGCTCAGAGTTCATGGCTGGATCTTGTTTCTGTACTGTATTTAGGATGTGATAAAAGGGGGACAGGAAGCAAAAACTCCAGATAAAATGTAAAGAAAATTACTGTCTTGGAAAAGGGTGCATGAAAACCTTGGTATGGAAGACAGAAGAAAAGAAAGAAACTTACTCTCTTTTTGACTGGAGAACTTAAAATGCTACTAGTCTGCCAGACTTCCCACTGTTATTTTCTGCCTGTATTAGACCACTAGAAACTTGTCATGCTCCTGTCATTCTCAGCCTTTCCTCAGTCTGAATTCTTGCTGCTGGAGAAGGAAGGAATTGCAGGTTAGGTCAAAAGTGTGCAGAAATACTGGACAAAGACTCGAGCAGCAAGCAGCTCTCAAAAGTTAAGCAGAATCTGAGCTGTGGGCATACCTGCGTGTCATTTTTTAGGTATGAAGTTTAACTTCAAGGCCTAGAAAAGAAATATTGCGAGAGTTTGCTTTTCAGCTTTCACCTGAAGTGTGTTTTTGTTCTGGGAACTGATACCTCTTGTTCAGCAGTGCTTATCCAAAGGGAAAG